ATTATAGTTGCTGAAAGAAAACAGGCCTTTACCATGGGCTTCCAATTAAGGATTGTCTAAGGCAGGGGTTTTCAAACTTTCTATTTCCACCAGTAGCAGAACCATTATTTTTAACAAAGTTTTATGTAGAGCTCTGTGATGGTTAATTTTGTGTGTCAACTTGCCCGGGCCACAGTGCCCAGATAGCTGGCCAAACCCTGGGTGTCTCGGATGGGATTAATATGAAAATCAGTTGATTGGGTAAAACAGATTGCTCTCCATTCTGTGCATGGGCCTGATCTGATCAGTTAAAGGCCTGAACAGGATAAAAGACTGGCTTCCTTTAAGCAAGACAGAATTCTCCAGCAGGCTGCCTTTACACTTCAGCGGACTATTTCCTGGTTCTACAGCAGGCAGTTCTCAGATACAGACTGTCAGCTTGGCTCTCCAGCCTGATGGCCCACCCTTCAGACTTCTGATTGCCGCCCCCATGGTTGTGTGTTAGCCAATTACTTATAACAAATCCCTTTCCCCAATATACGTATCCTATTATTTGTTTCTCTGGAGAATCTAGTATAAACTCCATATATAATACAGAAAATCTGAGTTGCTCTGTTAAAGCTGGGGTAGAAGGCCTGAAGCCCATTCATTTGGGAAGGAAATACCCCCTTCACTTCCAAGTAACTCTAAATGATCTTTGCAGTGGTTTTTTTTTTTTTTGGGGGGGGGGTACTGGAGGTTGAACTCAGGGGCATTCTGTCACTGAGCCACATCCCAGCCCTATTTTTTTTATTTTATCTAGAGACAGGGTCTCACTGAGTTGCTTAGTGCCTCGCCATTGCTGAGACTGACTTTGAACTTGAGATCCTCCTGCCTTAGCCTCCCAAACTGCTGGAATTATAGGCACGCACCATTGGGCCCCACTAGCAGTCCATGATTTGAAATCACTGGTTTATAAAACTGTACTTGAAGCCATCTTCTCATCTTACATTTATTATTCCAATTTATTACATTTATTCCTCTCTATGGTTCTAAATGTCTTAGGAAATAAAACTTTCACAGATAAAAACCCACCATGTTTAGGACAAGCAATAGCATAACCAGGAACTGCAGTTCACTGAATGAATGTTAACAGGTGGTAATGATATGGCTCATTGCTGTGGGTTGAATTGTGTCCCCCACAAAAATCATGTGTTGAAGTCCTGATCCTGAGTACCTTAGAATGTGACCGTGTCTGGAAATATGATTACTGCAGATATGGTTAGCCAAATTAGATGAGGTCACATGGGAGGAGAGTCCCTAATGCAATATGACTGGCATCTTGATAAAAGGAAGACAGTTGGAGACAGACAGGTGCACTGGGATGACATCACAGGAAGACAAAACAGTGCTTGGTGTGCTGCTTCTATATGCCCAGGAAAGTCAAACACTGCAGATGACCAGAAGCCTGGGACACAGCCAGGGGACAAGTTCTCACACTCCACAGAAGGCAGAAAGCCCTGGATCTTGGGCTTGCAGCTTCCAGAAACGTGAAATAACAGATTTCTGTTGTGTAAGCTCCCTTTTCTGGCTCTTTATTTAAGTAGCCAGAAAAAAACCAACACTAGGAAAGCACCAAGAATAAAAGCCATGTCGTGGTCTACCTAGGAGAAGCCCATAAATAAGGACTAATGCTTTCAGCTTTGCAAATGAGATCAATTCTATTCTCTATCTTTGCTCTCATGAATGAGTTGCAATCTGGAATCTGTTTAAATTCCAAGCCCACAGCTCAGGATCATTTGAAGGACTCTTTGGGAGCCTCAGGCTGTGGAGTCTGTACTGTTCAAGGTGGCCATGTCTCTTGGAACGATGGTGTCCACATGCTCTACCAGTGAAAGGGCCCAAAGATACTCCTAGAGGAAGGGGTTTTGGGGATAGAAGGCCCAGCTTATGGCAAAAGCAGAATGTTTATAGAAGACAAAGTCTTCCCTGCCATGGAACCGAGACTGATGGGGAACTACCCCATCAGGACAAGTCACTATGGAAGCAAATGAGGAACATGGGGTGGTAAAGATTTATGTAAAACACAAAATAGGAAAAAATAGCTAACTAAAAAGGAAGAGATGACTTGGGATTAAATGAGAAAGACATCCAGCCATTCTGAGTCCCTGAGCTCTGCAGGAAAGCAGCAGGAGACTGGCCTCCATTATTGCAAGTCCTTTGAGGTCTCCTTGTCTAGCAGGGTCAGGGAGAGGTGAGGGAACTCTGTCAACTCCCAGCTAGGATGTCCCATAGGGAAACTGGACCACTAAAGCAGAGGAGTTCAGACTACAAACTAAGAGTACAACTGTAATTAAGAAAAACATACCCCATCCCCTGCCTGCCAAATAAAGCCCTGTCCTCTAAGGAAGTTTAGTGACAGTAACTGGAAAAGAGAACAGAGAGACTTTAAGAGAAGCAACATGTGGAGAAGTCTGACTATGGGGGAGGAGATGGCTCTCAAACAAGATTCCTAAGAAACTGAGGTGGTTCCCAGGAGCCTCAGAGTCTCAGGTGCATGGATACACATGAATAAAATCACTGACGGGGATTGAAATGTCTCTACAGGGACACAGCAGTAAAATATACCCAGAGAAACCAATATTACAACACTAACTGCAGCTGTCCCTCAAGCGGTTGGCATCAGGAGCTGTGACCATGGTTACGACTGCTTAGATCAGAGAGCAAATATGCAGGCACATGTTGCACAGACCCTGTGTGCCACCGCTCACGGTTCCAGGGACCTTCTGCCGTGATCTAGAGTAAGCAAGTGGCATGATCCCAAGGGCCATGCTGCTCATACAAGGTTGTTGCTGAATTAAGTAGGACATGTTCTAAAATGAGGAGAATGAGAACTTGGACAAAGCAGCCTTCTGGGTGGGCCATATGGGATAAATATTTTTAATGCAAACCACCTGCACAAAGGTAGGCTTCCCACTCCCGGTAGCTTTCAATAATGTGGCTGTTCACTTGTTTTGCCAATGAAGGGAGGGGGGCGTGGATTTCAAACTCACAAACCATATCCTGAAGAAAAGATCATTAGGAGAAGCTTCCTCCTCTGAACTAGGCAAGACAAAAACAAGGTCATTCGGAGGAAGCTGCTGCCCAATAATGTCACCATGTCCCCAGGGGCAGCAGAGGAAGAAAGGGTTTCAAGGTAAAGCCCAGGAGATAAGGATTTCCAGAAGGAGGGCTTGCTAATAAATGCACTGTCAGTCACTGTACCAACTCATTAGGTGGTGGCCTCAGGGGTCTTTAAAGAGTGGACTTACAGCTATTTGCAGAGCATTAAACTGTATCTTGATGAAAACGAAGAAATAGTGAATTTTGGGAGCAATATATACTATTGGAAGTACTTCCCTGTCAGATACACCAAACAAACTAACTGCTTTCCACAACACATACATACAAGAAGCGTGAACGCAAGACAGTGGCTAGTGTGTTTCAGGTGCCACAGAAGACTGTGGAATTGTGTATGTATTACGTCAGACATTTCCACAAATTATAAGGAAACACTGCGTAAGTAGCGCTTACTATTTGGTATAAAACCAATGACATTTGGTTGCAGGAAAGTTCTGTGAATTTGGGCAAACAGTTTTACTCCTCTGAAGTTCAACTTCCTTGTCTAAAATCAGGGATGAATATATATCCAGCTTAGATAACATAATGTATAGAAATAGCATTGTACAACATGGTATATATATCATTCAAATATGAAGATACTTAAAAACAACTAATTTGGGGGGAGCTTATTTTGTACTAGGTCCTATTCTCAGTGATTTATATGCATTATTTAATTCTCAAAACACTATGATGATATTTTGGACAAATTTTTGAAAAAGGAGGGTAAATTTTGAAGAGCAAACCCTTAGATGCACTGGAGGAAGTGACAGAGGGGAGGAGCCTTGGACTATTAGGGGAAAAAAATCTTCCTGTGCTCAAAGAATGAAGCAGGACACATTGGGCAAGGGAGCGAGAGATCTCCCAATCACTGGGGAGAGAAGAAAGCCCCCCTTTCTATGTGGAGAATCTTGGGGGACCCAGAGAGCTCAGCAGGGAAGGCTCTGCGAAGGGTCAGAAGGCGGTACCCCCAGGGGTCTCCCATGAGGCTGGTAAGGCCAACTGACACATCTCCAGGGTGCCCACAGGGAAAGATGCCTCACACCCAGCTTGAGCAATACCTATAAAGTCAGGAACTTAGTAACTGGAGGCGGTGGCCTGCCTGCTTCATTCCATACATGGCTGTCACTGTCACATTCAACATGCCACTGTAGGTCCCAGGCTTGAGGGTCTGGTATTCAGCCACTACCGAAAATGCTGGGATCAGGCCTGGGGGCAGCCATGTGGGATGTGTCCTTCAAACTCCTTACAGGGGGCTGAGCTGGGAGGGAGAGCAGTCTGAGTGGGTATTAGTCTTGTTTTGCCAATTATGGGCAAAACCAGAATTTCAAATAAAACTGTACCATGGATGTGAGTGTGAAGTGTGTAAAGTCAAAGGTCTGACGAGACCATGTTTCAAGTCAACTTAGCCCAAGTGTGACTACTCGGTGGGTATCACGTAGAGGGGTGGCTGCAGGCTTCTTGTGGGGCACTTCAAACCCAGATTTACTGTGAGTGAGTGACTTCGCTTCTGTCCTCTGCCTCTCTTGAGGGGATCTGAAGAGCCTCATTTTCTCATAGAGGTCTCACAGGTTAATGGACCCAGCATGTGGGTCACACACTCGGGGAACTCCCCCAGGAGAACAGCCTCTTTTCTTGTGAAGTTCATGGAAAAGGGCTCTTCCTGGGCTTCTGATATGGTGTAGTCTTTTTCTTGGACTTTCAAGAATATTTGTTCTTTTCCCTCATTAAAAATATAAAATTAAAACAAACAAACAAACAAACAAACACAGCACCCAGGGCTTTGGGCTCCATAAGAATGTACATAATAATAAACAGGACATGCTGTAAATAGCACTGACATTCCAGCCGTGCCTAACAGAACTATCTTCCCACACGCCTGGCACCACAGTCTGGTCTGCAGATTCCTGCGTCCCTGGATTAAGCTACCCAGGTGATCCCAGAGGTAAGAGCCTCCTAGACAGATTTACCACAAAACAGCATGACCCAAGTGCCGACTGTCATCTAAATGCCCTGGGATTTCCAGGGCCTTAGTGTTCATACCAACAATTAGATCTTCACTGAGCAAACCAAACTTTCCTTCCACTTCAGGGAACTGGTCTTTTCCTAGCAGATACCAGAGTGCAGAGGCCTCTCGTCAGCCCTCGCAACTGTCCCTGAGACGGGCAGTATCCCTCCAGTCTTACCAAGGAAAACAGAGTGAGGGGCTAAATAACTCATCGAGGTCACACAGGTAGTAAAATGGCGAGCAGGGTGCCAAGTTCAGGCTTCCTGCTGGACTGTTTCCTTCCACTGCTTCCTCTGTGTCCCTTGGGAAGGTGAAGTTCGGAGCTGGTTAATCTGATCCTGGGGCAGCCCCAGCTCCGCAGTGGTCCACGGTACCATGGAGAGAGCTCTCAGGGGCCTCGTGGCCACTTTCAGCCTGTTCACTTGGCAACCCCTCCTCTGTGGGAACACGTCTCCTGTGGGAATGCTGTCTCTACTGTGGGCTGTGACAAACTCACAGGTGGGTCCCTGGGGTCTCCAGATTATTCTAGCACTTATCTCACAATATTGATTTGTTCTCCGTTTTCCTGCCAAATCACTGTGTTTACTATACTTTGGAAATCCACCCTCTGGTCCTCTGGGGTGACCAAGAACTGGAAACCCCTCTTCCATCCGGGGTTAGTTTTTCCTCTCTCCTCTGCCTGCCCCCTTTCCCATGAATGTGCTCTTTGCTCACATTCCCATTGCAAGGCTTTGGGAAAGGCCTAAGGTGCAACTGTTTAAAACCTTATGTTATTAAAGTGTGTCCTAAGCATGGAATGGAAAAGAGAGGGATCCTGGGCTCCAGGTTGCTGGTGATAGCAAAACAAACAAACAAAAACAACGGAAGAACAGGGATGACAGGTGACAAACACCAGCTGGGAGGGCTGTGATTTCGAAGGTTATGGGTCTTCAGGGACCTTCACTGAAGGTTCTGCTGCCAGTGCTTGGAAGAGGAAAGGAACGACAGGAGGCTACAAAAGCCATTCCACGAGAGCCAGAGGTGAGCGAGAGAGGCTGGGCTGGCTATCCCTGGAAGAGGACCATGACCACAGGAATTGAGACACGAGGCTCCACAGGATGCTCAGAGCCACTGGAGGTGTAGTCACATGACGGTGGCGATTTGGGTTATTAATTTGAATACTGATGGGAAGGATATTGGCAGAAGGTTCTAACCTCGGCTAGGCACGGGGCATCTCTCACTGGGTCAGTGTTAATATTTGTTATCCTTCCCTAAGCTCTCCTTTATTCCACCATTATCAGATTAACCAGCCTAAAATGACATTTTAAAGTCTTTTATTCCTCTGTTTAAAACTTCATCTGTCTAAATACCAGCACTAATACTTAAGACTCAATGGAAATCTAACCTCCCCAAACTGATATTTCTTTTTATCTTTGGGTTGCCCCCAACTCTTTTTAATTTCTAAGCCAATGATGACTTTATTCTCATTTCTTACACTCCATGAATCTAATGATTTTGCCTTCTACCCTGCTTTTAGGTTATATGTCACTTCTGATTTTTAAATGTAAGGTATGCATAACGTCAGCTAGAGCTGCAGACCAATAGGAAATAACTAAGCTTACTGAACCCTGATAATTTCACTCACAGCAAATAAATTTCAGCTTCTACTTGGACTGTGCATTCTTATGGAGGCTGGGGAAGGTGGTAAAAGTGATTTTTGGTAGCTTTCTGAAGTACTAACAGTAGTTTAGGATCCCCATTACCTTCCTATTTTGGTCCCTGGTGGGGAGGGGTCAGACCTGAATGGACTCTTTTCCAGCCAGACTCACTTCCTTCACCTTCCTGAATCCTACTTCCTTTCCAAAGCCAGTTCAAATTTCATCTTCGCCCAGAGTCACCTGTCAACTTCCTCAGTACACAGTAACCTGGCTACTCACTGACTCAGGTATCCATTTTCTGTGCTGTTAATTTGTGAACTCCCAGGCCCTGGGTTATTGCTTACCTTACGCGTTCATGTATTCATTCTAAATTGAATTTTAAAGCCCTTGACTATGGGAATAATAATAATTTAAGCAACATTTCTTTACTCATTCCTGCCCATACATAGAAATAATACCTTAATCAATAAACTTTTGTTGACTCTAAATATGGACTTCTTTTCTTTTAGGAACCATGACAAAGGATTAAGATCAGTTTTGGTCAAATGATGTCTCACCTACCTGGCCAACAAGTCAATAAGTTCAAGTTTTGACATCCCATCAGGAAGCAGTCGAGGAATAGCAGCAACACAGGTCCTGAAAAGATCGATTTTGGGCTTTCTTTCACCCCTAGCAATTGAAGACAAAATTTAAATATAGGTCAAAAGGTTGTGAAAAATTCTTAAAAACATTTGTTAAGTATGTGAATGAAGACTGGAACTTAATCCATGCCTCTGAATCACAGGCTTGTGTTGGTTCCAGTATTCTGTTTATTCCCTTTACAGTTTGACCATTTCTAATAAAACTTTAAAAAATATACATGCAACACAGAATTACATATCTCTGTAAATGCTGATTATCAAGAGCATTTTATCATAGGCTTGCCATTTAGTTGGGATCTATTTGGTCCCTGTGGCCTGCATTTAAAACACTAGAATCACAGAAATGCTTAACGGTGTCAGCACGAAGAAATATATTATAGTCGTTCCTCTATTTAATGTTCATAAATGGGATTTTAATATATGCAAAATGGCCCCTTTTATAAGTGTGACATCTGGAACCTTCTTTCCCTGATGTGCCATGCTTCTCTAGACCACCTAGCCCCATTTAAAAAAAAATTGTTTCCAAACTAAGTCTTTCATGACAACAGGTAAAATCCTGTATATAGAATAGAGACCCCTCTTTTTAGTTACTCTCATGAAGATATTAGTGTTTAAGGATAATAAGGTCTTCTGTGTTGTAAGCACACAGAAAGCAAAAATGTATACATTCAGCACCCAATACCTATGGGATCCACCCCCATGGATTCAACCAGCCATGGATTGAAAATATTTAAGGAAAAATGTGCCTGTATTGAACATATATAGCCTCCCCCACTCCTGTCATTATTCCTTAAACAAAAGAGTATTACAACTATTTCCATAGCATTTGCATAGTTTTAAGTGTTATAAGTAACCTACAGAAGGCTTAATATGGGAGGAAATGCATAGGTGATGTTAGATGCAAATATTATGCCATTTTATACAAGGGACTTAATGCATATCTCTGAAAATGCATATATTTCCAGGATTTTGGTTATACCAAACAATTGGGAAACAATTGGGAAATCCTGGAAAAAAATCCCCACAGATGCAGAGGAACAATTGAATTTTGTAATATGTTATTTCAAGTTTTAGATATTTTAATAGGTAACTATTTGATTCTTAACCACTTAATCGATAACTTTTATAAGAAATTAAATTATCCGTCAAATATTTCAAATAACCTAAGTGAGAATATATAACAGCATATCTATATTCTGATGATTTAGTTTTCTGAGAATAAATATAAAATTGGTTACAAAGTTAAAGCAGTAATAGGACACAGACACAATAATGGAAATGCAAAGTGACACAGAAGTAATCACTTCTGGGAACAGTAATGGTGGCCAGAATAGAACAGAAGTGCACCAAGTGTTTGCAAGGAGGATTCCCAAATCTGATCATCATCTAATAGCAATCCTGAGCTGTGACCTTACTTTTTAGAATGTTTTTGTAAGTGAAGGATAAATGCAAAACTATTCATATGAAAAGCAAGATATATACTCTGACTTCTAAAATATTCTGCTTTTGTAGAAGATATTTTTGTCTCTTTTTTCCTTTGAACCTCTGGCATCAGATAAATGAGGGTTCCAGAGAGGAAGCTGGTGCACTGTGGTTTCTAATACGCTGAAGGAGAGAGTTGTCTTTGGATGACACCCACAATAGCTGTGAGTGGTTTCAACAGTTTAAACAGTTCTTCTAGCTTGCTCACCAGATGTTGTACACAGCTGGAATTATATTCATATCTGCTAGAAAAGAGATGACCCTGCCTGGCCTGAAGTGTAAGGCGAGCCCTTCCAGACTTCCAAGCTGATAAATCCAGCCTAGATTAGGAATTAATTGGTGCATGATTTCCTCTTACTATTGTAGCTATTGCTGTCTCTGGGGTTTTTATGGGAAGCCTTGTGAACTTCCAAAATAACACAATTAAGAATATTTATTAACAGATGTTAAAATTACTATTTTTTAACATTTGTTATTTTCTTTCTTACTTTCATTAGCCACAAAAGAAATGAAGAATGGAGATTGAGTAACACAAAATACTCAATGTTCAAGTTCAAACCTTAAACCAGGGCCTGGGAACATGGTGGACAACCTCAAATGCCAGTTCAGATGACTGTTCCCATTAGTGCTGTGTGGTCTCCACCCTCTTCCCCTAAATGCTTATATGATTCTCTAACATTTCTCTTTGTTCTTTTTAAGAAATGAAGCAATGAGTGATTTTCCACTCTGGGATCTACTTTATAGTCTAACATGAAAACTATTCCTAGCCTTATTTGGGGGAATCTTAAAATGGATGAATAGGAAAAAGAAGAATCTAGAAGAAAATGTGAAGCATTAATTAAAACTTAAGTAGAATATTTGTATTTATATTTAAGCCTATACATGTTTGAATATATTGTTTTGGACTTGAATCTACCGTCTGATGTTTCCTGAATATAACTATGATTTTCCTTTAAAGCTCTTTAATTCTTTAATATTTTAAATAGGAAACAACTATATGGAAGAAATTTTGAAAGTATTTCTTATGTTTTCTACAGGATATATAAAAATATCTTTAAAATATTCAAGGAATATGGAATAATGAGGTTAAAGTCTTATTCATAATCTGTTAACTTATGAGGCAAGAACTAAAAAGCTAAAGAAGTATTTTTAATGTTATCAGTCTTGTTCAATCTCAATTTTGTTATTATTTTGATTGAAAAGTCTACAGTGATATGGCCTCCATGTGGTTTAATCAAATGTTTGGCAAGCTATAGGGTAATATACATTGTATATTTTTGTTTTTACCAAAAAAATAAAAATGAAAGAAAGAAAAAAGTGCAGATTGTCCCCAGTTTAGTAATTTTTGACTTTACCACAGTGTGAAAGTGAGTTACATTCAGTAGAAACTGCTTGGAACTTAGAATTTGGATATTTTCCAGGGCTAGTGACAAGTGATTCTCTCTTGCAATGCTGGGCAGCTCCCAGCCGGCCCTGAGATCATAAGGAGAACAACTGATACTCTCCAGGGCACAGTGCTGCTGAGACAGGCTGCTGGGTAGGGTAGGGGTAGTACATGCATGTTCAACGTATAACATTTTCAACTTAGAATAAACTCATTGGGATGTGACCCCACCATAAGTTGAAGCGCATTGGTATTTCCATATAGTACATTTATACAGGGAGAGTTCTGGAAGGAATCACATGAAGCTAAGGGATGGTCACAGATTTGATTTCAAGTGGGATGCCTAGGAGGAGGCTTTTCATTTTAAATGCTACTAAATATATATTTAAAATAATTCTGTACTTCAACTGTTTTAATCATGAGCATTTACTATCAATGTGATCAAATTCATACAATATGAACTTCTCTATAAAGGTAACAATTTCAGATTAATTCTGATATTTGAGGCTGGTTATGCTGGGAAATAGAGGAAATCTTCCTAGTTATGTTTTTAGGAATTTACGCCACAGCTGCCAAATAAAATCTAATTCATAGTTCAATGACAAAGTCTCATTTTTTAAAAAAAAATGTAGAATTAGAATCAAATCTTAATTCTTATTGAAATTAGTGAAAAATAGCAAATATGAGTTGTACAGGTTTCCTCCGCCGAGCTCAATCACAAACGCAGCTCTCGATTTTGGCAAAGAACATTTGAGTTCTACATTTGGTACTATAAATGCTTTCTTAAAATCTATGGCACAGTTTCACTGAAACTATTAAGTAGGAATTTCCATTGGAAACAAATTAATTTGAGATTTATAAAGTGGGATATGTGTAAATTGGGATGTCATTGAATCACAGGTGCTATGGTAGAGCGTGGGAACAAAATGTCGCTTCTGAAAAATGTGGACCAAAAATGGTTTGGGTGTCCCATATTCTAACTTGCTGGCTTAATGGTACTCAAAATATAACCCAAAGAGATCAACTGACTGCAGGTTTGACTTCATTTTATGGTCAGTTGAATATCAGAAAAAAGATTTGGGGGTGGGACTGGGAATTGAACGCTAGGCCTTCTGTATGCTGGGCAATGTCAAAGTATTTGTATTTATTTAATTATTTAAACTACCCTTAGCACTTCGTACATCCCTGATTCTAGGAAGTGAGAATTTTTTTTAAAAAAAAAAAGAAAGAGAAAAAAGGAAAAAGAGAAAGAAAGAATATCTACCTCTATCTTTTGCTTCATTAATTGCTTTTTTTTTTTTTTCCTTTTTCTCTTCTGTAGTGATGGGGATGGATCCCAGGGCTTCGGGCATACTAGGCAAGTGCTCTACCATTGAGCTATATCCCAGCACTTTTTACTGTTTTGTTTCGAAATAGGGTCTCCCTAAGTTGCCTACGTTGGTCTTGAACTTGTGATCCTCTGTGTCAGCCTCCCGAGTCACTAGGATCACTGGTGTGCGCCACCACGCCTGGTTGATCAATTCCTCATGGATAACAGCCTCACTGTACTCACGTGATCATGTCTTCGGGTTCTTTGTTTAACATCTGGACATTGGTTAGCATCATACACCGTCCTACTTCTTTATCAAGGTGCCTTAAAATGTTGTCTACAGCTTTTCGTACTTGAGAGTAATACAAGGACATGCCTGAAAAACACGTATTATAGTTACAACCTTGACTAAAGCTATCAAAGAACAGCTTTAGTTCATCTTCTATAACATTTTTTTTTTTTTTACTGAAGACCCTATAAGCCAATGATTTCTTTGAGCAGAGAGTCTGCGTCTGATTCAATTTCCCTCTGCGTGGCTCTTAAAATAATGCCCTACACTTAGCAGGTGTTCACCAAATAATCATTTACATTAAACTAATAATAATTGTAAGTGGTAGGAAAGACTGTGAAATGAGATGGACATCATTACCCTAAGTACATATATGAAGACATGAATGGTATGATTCTACTTTGTGTACAACCAGAGATATGAAAAATTGGGCTCTATATGTGTAATGTGAATTATAATGCATTCTGCTGTCATATATAACAAATTAAAAATAATAACTATAATACTTCAATAGGAAGTATTTTCCAGCAGAGTTAAACAAACAAGGAAATACACATTTTGATTTTTTTTTTTTAAACCAAGGATTGAACCCAGGGCACTTAACCACTGAGCCACATCCTCATCCTACACCCACCCCTTTTTTAAAAAAAATTCTTTTTAAATTTTGAGATAGGGTCTTGCTAAATTGCTACGGCCCTTGCTAAGCTGCTTAGGTCCTCACTAAGTTGCTCATGCTGGCTTTGTACTTGCAATCTTCCTGCCTCAGCCTCCTGAGCCACTGGGATTATAGGTGTGCAGCACTGTGCCTGGCTCACATTTTGAATTTTTAAGTTTCTGGTTAGCATAAGAAAATCCATCATCACTAGTGATTACATTAATAAAGGCCAATTCTTATTTTGGGTTAAGATTTTACTAACTTCAGATTGTTCTCTGAAATATATGTATTAATTCTATTTGTAGCAAAATAAAATGAGACGTTATGTTATAAATTTTAAAGTGAAAGAAAACACATTTTAGTCATTTTGTTATTACTCTCACTAAACAGTGTGTCAATGTCCTACAGTGGAAAACAAATATGTACATATTACATATAGTTACATATATGTACATATAATATATATGTTACATATATTACATTTTACATATATTCACAATACACATATAACAATGAAAAGCAAATAACTGTACTTTAATGAAATAATTACTATTTCTCATGCATTAAGTCTTTTGAACTCATTTAAGCATTACATAATTAAAATAGTGTAAAGCAACAAAACTGCTGTACATATTTCCATTATATCTTTGAAATCCAGGAACTACCTTTAAAAAGTTTGTAGTAGTTTCTAAATTTGGGTATTTAATAAGAAGTAAACAAGTGTGAATATTCATCTCTTTGGATTAAAATAGCTAAATTTAAAAGAAACTAAGCTCATATAGATTAGATTTACAATATAATATGGCTTTTTGTAGAACATGGTATGTTTAAAATACAAATTAGACAACGTTACTAAAAAATAAAAAAATGTAGTCTGAAAGTGAATGAATGAATTATAAAGAAGATTATTTACCAAAGCACACAGATTTCTTAGAAATTTACTGTATATAATCAAATTTACTGTAGATAATCAATATTAGAGGTTTGAAAAGATTCACATAAAACTCAATATGTGAAGGGCAAAATATTTACCAGAAAGTTCTAAAAAGTTTAAAGGGCAGTAGAATAAAAAGCAGCATGCATTCATCAACACAATTAACACTGGAATGTCTCATCTGTTACTTTTACAAAGTTTTTTTTTTTTAAAGTGCTCCTCATTAAAGGTAAGTATCTAATAGTGAGTGATTTTAAATGCTTCACCCCCATTCTAACACGCTTGACACCTACCTATCATTTTGGCTTCCTCTTCAGTTAGTGTTTTACTCAAGTATGTTTTCTTGACTCTCAATGTGTTTCCAGAGGGGAGTACGGCTCCTGTAACTGGCATGGGAGGCTCACCATCTTTCTGCTGCAGGCTGTCAGCTATTACCAAGAATGCCCGTAAACCAATGTTCATTCTCTATGAAGAATAATGCATCCATGAGAAAAAAGAAAGGCCCAGGTTCTGCAGTGAATTACAACATCTGTCTTTCAGAGAAAGTCTGCTTGGTTTTCAATCTAGGTCAGAGATTAAAAGGCACAAGAACATAGGCCACACCTATGAAAATATTGTTTCCATGGCTGTTGCTACATTATAAGAAAAAAAATGGGAAGGTTTTCATTAAACTTGGAGGGCATGTTTGAGATGGTTACAAACCATTTTGTTCAAGGGAGGCGGAGTGTACCACAGAGGGATAGATGGTCATCCTGTGGGGCTGCTGCAACTGAGGTAAACTGAGGTGAACAAAAAGCCCTATGCTTTCTAGAAGGAGAGAGATACCACACATGTTAATTCACAAAGATGGAGTGAAGCATTCAGAGTTCCAAATGTGAACCACAAAATGAATATCACCTATTCTGAATCAAAAATCAAATTGATTTTTGATTCACGAAGGCCAGCCAGTTTGAGAACAAATTTTAAGAACTTAGCAATGCTATGGAACCTATTACTAAAACAAGGGGGTGTATAAGAAGAAAGGCCATCCTGGGCCAGACTGTAACCTGTCTTAGGCTTAGGTAAGGCAAAATATTGGTTCTGAAAGATGACCTGGCAAGACACCTGCTCTCTAAAGTGCATTCTCACCACAGAGTGTAAGACTCAGTTGTTCTGCACCCTTCCCAGCACATCTGATTGTGGTGTTTAGTTTTACATTTGTTTAATGATAGAGAACACTGAACATCTTTCCATAAGCCATTTGTATTTCTTCTTTGATGAAGAGCCTTTTTATTTTGTGCATTTAAAAAATTGGGTTGTTTATTCCCATTGAATTATAAGAATTCTTTATGTAGTCTGGAAAATGTCCTTTGTCAGATATGAATTTTGCAAATGTTTTCTTCCAATCTGTGACTCTCCACTTCATTAAGTGTTTTTTTTTTAAAGGGTAGATCTTTTAAACATTTTTGGCAATGTTCAATTTACTAACATTTTCTTGCATAATTTATGAGTTTCACGTCTCAAGAATTTTTGCACAACTGAAGGTGACAAAGATTTTTCTCTTAAAATCTTTTTTTCTGGAATATTTATTGTGTTGGATTTTACCTTTAAATTTATGATCCATTTTGAGTTCATTTTTGTTTATAGACTTATTTATGGCTTGAAGTTCATTATTTTGCAGGTGGATTTCCAATTGTCCAATTTATTGGAAAGACTATCCTTTATCCATTGAAGTTACTTAGATCTGTCAATAAAAATAAACTGGCCATTTATATATGGGTCTATTTCTGGCTTTTCTATTCTGATCATTGGGTCTTTATAGTCATCCTTCTGCCAATATCACGTGGGGAAGTGACTGCTGTATAACCTAT